ATTGATGCCCAAGATTGAGAAAGAAATTCAACGCGCTGAACTTTGCGAACAGCAAATGGAAGATTTACGCAAAGCCATCGTGGAACTCGTATACAAAGACTGGGTTTGAAACTGTCGATTCATATTTATAAATAATCAGATATTTTCTTCCTGAAACAGTCAGAAAAATATTAATTTTCCTTTACATGATGTTCCTATATTCTAAAACCCACATTTTCGAGCTGTCAATTCACTCATTTTATATTTATCTCACGCTCCCCATCATATATGCGTGTTTCATCATACTGTATATGATTACATTATAAAATGAATATATGAAATTCTTCATACATGAATATATTATGAAATGAATATTATCAAATGAAATCCATCATATATGAATATATATTATGAAATGAATATCATCGTATTAAATTCATCATATATGAATACTGTACATAATGAAATGAAGGAAATCAATTTTCTCGGGGTAAAGTCGGTGAAAAATGCGCATTTTCTGTAGAATGGATTCCCGAACATGCAGCTTTATGTATAGTAATGCGTATAAGAATTTCTAAATTCTTGCAGGTTTCCACGGAAAAAGCACAAGAATTCCTAGGGTCAAAATTGCCAGAGATGCTGAAGGAATTCTCGCAATTCCTGGGACTGTACAACTGGATGTCTGGCGACGAGGTTTTTACTTTTATCTTGAATTCACTTGATAACTGCTAACTAATTATAAGCACTCAATAATTTTTTTTACAAGCAAATAAGCAGTGTTCTGAATGTGGTTGGAATTATAATTTCTGTATACAAATATTGCGAGTTATTGAAATATTTAAGTAGCTTCAGTTTGACGAAACATTACTATAATTCAGGCATCGCATCAATAAAAAACAAATGGAAGTGACAGCAAAAAAATCCAAAAAATATATTTAATTCTTTTCTTCTATTTCACAGACACTCAGCAGAAATCATTTACCTAAAAACTGTATGGGTTCCTAAAACTGTTCAGGGCGATAATCAATTTTCTTTCAATTTCAGCTCACCTACGTCGATTTTTTGGCATATGAGGTTTTCGATTGGACCTTGTACTTGGACCCCGACTGCATGAGCGATTTCTTCAACCTCACAGTATACATGAAGAATTTTGAAGCACTTCCAAACATTAAATTCTACATGGAGTCCGACAAGTAAAGATCATTTTTTCAACATTCAGTAAGATATAGAGCTGAAAAAGAAAGAGATTATATTATATATTAGAAGATAAGCTCAAAAATGGAATTCACTCAAAGCTGCACGACGTGTAATCTGATTTAGGTTTTACAATTTGTTTGAGCCTTTTTTGTTTTCTTCTGAGAAGCGCAGTATAATCGCAAATAAAATTGTATAAAATGGTCGTTCAAAAATGGCTATTTTTCATAATAGCGAATTTTTGACGGAGAAAGCAAGCTAAACATATGCAGTATTTGTTTTTTTTTCTTTTTCCTCATCTCTATACAATAAGTATTCATTTCCACCAAAGGTTTTTGCCCTCTTATTATATATAGAACGCTGAAAAAATAAAATGCAAACTAAAATACTTGAGATTGATATATTTTTTAAATTATGCTGCAATAAGACACGATGATTTCGAAGACATTTTAAATTTCTGTTGCTAATTTCTCAAGTGCATCATTATTGCAAATTTGAGGAAAAGTAAAAAGGCCCTACATATAATGAAATCTCTTTTCAAATCTGCTTTCAAACTACTGTATATTTTTTTCAAAAAATTTGCTGCTGAGAATTACTCTGTTATAATTTCATTAATTTTTTCCTTCGTGATCAAGCACGGGATGTGCATCATTCACACTCGACTTTATAAATGCAAGCTTCGAGGAGAAAATCTTCAAAAAAATGCGGGACTTGGCCCTTAAGAATGTTCATCAAAATTCTCGAATAATAAATTGGCATGACACTAGAAACAATTAATTTTCACACCCCAGAATTTTTTTTTTATCTCTATATATATTATAGACGGTTGCAGCAGCAGTTTTTCTCGTGCTGTTTTCCCCCTTTTATGATTCAACTGAAGTCTGATGACGAGGGATTATACATTTATAGTCTTTTAATATTTAGACGATTCGAAGAACGCAAAATGTGCCTGTGACTTTCTCTATATATATTGTGGGAAAACGCCTTATTGCCAATTTTATTTTTTCCAGATCAAAGATCGAAGCACGAAAGTGAGACTGATTCATTTCATTGATGTTTGGCAGGTTTTTAAAATGGCCGCTGTTCTTCAAGACAGCGCAATTCGGCTTCAAAGACGAAGACATGAACATCAGGTTTCCTCCGGGTTCCCAAGACTCCACGAAAATGAAAATCTCTAAAATCGTAGGAAATCACGTCGAAAAGGCTCCTACTGCTGTTGGCTCATCTCAAACCGAAGAAGAAAAATCACGCGAGGACGATGATGATGATGAGTCTCGAATCTTGACACTAACCGGTTCATCTGCTGCTGAAGAATACCTCGAAGAAGCCATGATGGAAACTATGGAACCCAATTTTGACTTTGCCGACGACGACGTATTCCTGGAAACTGAAAATTGCGGCGACACTGAAGACATTAACGAAGCGGCGATGATGAAGACTGAAAAAACCTCCAGGGACCAAAAGCAGCATAACAACGAATTAACTGCTGAAGATAAAGTTGAAGAAAAATCAGCAGTTGCCGGGAATAACACGATCATCGTCCAGGAACAAACTGCAATAGTCCAAATTCTCGATCAAGAAAAGCAAGACGAAGGAAACATCGACAAAAGGGAAAACAGCACGGCAGAAAAAGACGAAGAAGAAAATTGTGAGGAAGAACAATTAATAATCAATAGCGAAGAAAAAAATGTGGCAAATGCTGACAACCAGTCTGACATGAAGCAAGGTATTAATTCAGATCCTGAAACTTTAAAACCCGATCAAGAAAACCTAGACGAGAAAGATAAAAAGGCAGACGAAATTATTATTCCGAAATCTGAAGAAATCGAAGATCAGGACGGTAACAAAGAAGAAGTTCAGGCTTCTTATTCCAGTGAATGAATTGAAAAAATCTTCAGATTGTGCAGGGAAAAAAAATGAGGTTCTTTTCACATCAACACGACTATTTCATAACCCGAACTTATTGCGGAAAACACAAGGTTTAAAATAAATTCTTTTCTTGATATATTAAATTTTTTTGCAATTTGATGACGGTTATTGAAACCTGGTGTTTCAGCATGATATTGATCTTGTTTTTCGGTTCGTCTCCAGCTTTTATTCATCTCAGTTTATTTTCTTCCCGAAAATGCATGGTCTAGCATTTATTTAATCAATTATTGCATGAGTGAACTGAAAATAATCTATTTAAATACTGTAAGTCTGATACGACATAACGTTAAAACGTTTGGAAACATGTCAATAGAATAATGAAAAAAAACTTCATTCAATCATCCCATTATGAATCAGATTTTCTCCTAGATCAGAAAAATATTTTGACTCTGAATTAGGCATTGAAATATCTTTCAGCTTGATATATAATGAAGTAAAATATTTACTATTAACATTTTACTGGATATGTCGCCATCATCCTGTGAAAAAAATTCGCGTCATGTTTGAGTGGAAAGAACCGAAAAATAAATAGAGAAATCAAGATTCCAATTCGTTGCAAAAAATTTTGATGAAAAAGTGCCATTCTCTCGACGATTATATCCAAGTAAAACAGATCTATATATACTGTAAATATTGTATCTGTTCACCAGCATCAAAACCATTGGCAACAGAGAAAATAAAGCGCAAAATTGAAAAAAAAAGTCGAAGTTCTCGTTCATTTCAAAGCTCAAGAATCCACAAATTTCTTAACCGTTTCTCCAGAAATGAACCAAATAACAGGTACGCCGAGAATTTTCTTCCGTTTTCTTGAAAATTTCCCCCCTCGCGGCTTGAATGACGAAAAAATCGACAAACAGTATCTCCGTTGCTCAACGAACAATCTCAAGGTAATTCACAAAAAAAATACGAACAAGCGCGTGGGGGAAAAAAAGTGAGCTTCACGCAGAAATAAACATCTTGATGCAAATGTCGAAATTTTGAAAATACGCGATCGAATGAGAACATTTATGTTTCGTTCGTGTGTGAGGATGATGAGAACGAGCGCATACATCATCCGGCAAATCCGAAAGAAAATACAGTACGAGCTCTGGCAGTTGCACTTCATGTTCTGAGCATTGATCAAAAAACGTTCATTTGTCCTTCATATCTTCTTTTTTTTTTTGGTTCTTGAGTTTTCTTTTCAGGGTGCGACGACGCAACTTCCTCCTTTTCTTACCGTGCGTCGCACTGTGCATAAAGCTTGGAGTAGCAGAGTCAGACCGAGTGTGGCGATAGTGAAGAGAAAAATCAAGTCCTTGATTTGCTTGATTCCGAGGTCTCTCCTGGGCCAGCCATAGAATCCGCCGGAAACAACTGGAAAATAAAATATGGAATATCAATAAAGATATTCCATATAGAGATTAAAGCGAACAATTGTCGACAGATTCGTGACGGTGGATGTAGAATTATCGAAAAGGTCCACCTTTCTGGTTCATTACTTTTGAAAGCATGCTTTGTTCTCCGGGAGTATACAGTATATTCTGTCTTTAACCTATTTTTGCAATATTTTTAAAAACTCATCATTAGTTCTGTACTGTAATACAATTTTAAAAATTTCCAGTACGAATCCAATATGCGTCGTAGGTGTGACGATGATACTGCGGAGGATTACAAATTCTTCAGGCCGGGTTCGGATCACGCACATGTATATTTTCTTAGTCGAACAACTGACGAAGAGAGAGCATAGAGCATACTTGAAAAGCTAATGGATTAATTATTCCTGAATCAGGTCGATCAATCTTTCAAATTCTGGACGCATATATAGGCAACGTGAAACCGCCTGCTCAGCAAGTTTGAAGACCTTTGTCATTATTTAGATTTTTGGACTGTATTACCAAGTTTGCTTGCCATCATGCACTGCGTTAATTATTCAATTTGATTCGATAATTTAACCTGCAGGTGTTCGGTTGAAGTTTAATTCATATTTATTTCGTGGCAATTATAGCGACTATAAGTATACAGTGATATTTGCGTAAAGAAGTTCTGCGTAGAAATTCAAAAAATCAGTAAATCACACAATAAGAAAATGAAATAAGGTGTTTTTTCTGTATACAGTATATGCATACCAATTTATCGGAAATAAATTGAGGAGGGAATTCTGCAATTGAAATTCGTGAAAAGAGCGATCTGAAATGTTCAACTCGCATAATTTCCGACTGCTGTGGGTTTTTTCTCTTGAAAATATTCGAAAAGGTATTTGAAACACTTCGGAAGCGTGCACTTATATACCGTATAGTACATACAGTATTGTCACAATTCCAAGTGCAAATTTTGATTGTAAAGTTCCGCTTTCTCTTTCATTGTTCAATCTTTTATGAAATTATACAATTGCTAAAAGTTTCAGGCGAATCTCATCCGTGCATTTAAGTTAAATGGTTCGATTGATCATATTGTACATATGCATCAACACCAGGGACGTCAAAATTATTTAAAAATTCTTCGGACATTTGCACATTCGTTTGCGGAATATTTTCCCTCACAAAGGATATATAATTTTCGGATCTTACCTGAGACTTTTGCAAAGGTGATGCTATTGTTGGTCAGCTGGAAATTATTGTAATAGCCTTTTATTTGAGCCAGAAACATTCGATTTTCTAGAATGCTTGCAGAAGTTGACGGATCGTTTTGCCCGGAATCCATCAAAGCCACAACTCGAATCAACATTCCATTTGTAGAGTTTACCGGCCTGAAACGCAAAAACAAAACACGAATATTAAATAAAAATTTTATGCAAAGTTTTCGAGGTTTGAATTTTTGCACTGATTAAACAATTGAGGCAACAACAAAAACGCTTACTTTGTGAGTTTCACTGCTCGGATGGATTTTAGAGGCAAAGTTGAGTCATTTGCATCGAGTCTGACTCTGTCAAGTCCATTGATCAGAGTGTCTGAGATCTCTTTCATTTTTGCTGCGTATTCCAAGGATCCAGGTTGGCCATTACCACTGAAAGATCCGGCATTGATGTCGATTTCCATTTGATAATAAGCAGCTAAAGAGAAGGGAGACAGAATCAATCCATGAAAATCGTTTTTCTTCAAAAATATGGATGATGGCAGCAATTCAGAGTACATCAACTCGAACACCGAAATGCAGCGAAAGATCAGCATTCTATAATGATGTTGGGACTCTCTCTACAATTTAATTCGAGGGAATATAAAAAAATTGATCTACATCAGTACAGAGAAAGAATTATGTTGCATATAGAATAACCCCTACAGTGGAGAGAACCCTATGGAGAAAAAAATCGTTATTCTGAGGAAATCATTGGAGACCAGATTTTTTTTTAGAGAGGGTCCACATCATGTACTGAATATTGTTTTCTCCTATGCTGGAAGCCACTATAGCATTTATACAAAAAACACTCTCAGCAGCTTAAAAAATTTAATAAACTCCAGCTTGCATCAGAGACTTCCGGTTATACCTTGAATATGTATCCAGTACTTTTAGAATTTCGTCATGACAAATCTTGCTAGAACAAAATATTTCCAATAGCAAAGTAGTTCTTGCTGGGTCCATGTGTCCAATTAAATAGCCAGAATGTTACCGTTTTTAAATTTGTATACTGCGAAATTTGTTTTATAAAAAGCATTTTTTTCCTGGTTTCAATGATATTTTTTTTATCAAGAGTTTACTATTCATATAAAGATGTACTCATTTATTAGAGGTATTCTCTATACCTTATTCGTATCACTTGAAGGTGTTATTCTTGGTGTGAATTTTTTGTTCATGCATTTTGCAAATAATTCCCTGAAAGAAAATTACTTTTTTTCTGCAGACACATTGCAAGTGAAATGCAAAGTTTGTTCACGGTGAATTGTGTGTTCATTGTTCTTTGTTGTAATGCTTAAAAAACTACTCTATTTGCTGGGAATTAATTTTCAATTTTCTGTGCTGATATGATCAAGAAGCAGCAGATTTAATTTAAAATATTGGTCTTTGATGGAATTGTTTTCCAAAACATAGCAACAATATTTTAGACATTGATACTGAATCACATCTGAGACCTGGTACTGATTATTATACTCAAATTAAAAGCAGCACTTTACTCAATTGGAGAATATACTTTAGATACTTTGGTATGAATTAAGGATTTTTACTGAACCAGAGTTGAATTTTATGATTTATACCCAGCACAGACGCCGCAACACAATTCATATAAATTTAAATCAGAAAACTATTATTAAACTATTTATATAAAGGGTATTATCGGAGTTTGTATTTAATATTCGCAGACTATTTAATAAAGCAACTGGAGCAAATGAAGAAAAAATTGAGCTAGCGAGAGAATTAGAAAAAGAGAAAATTTAAAATGCAGGTTAGGTTAAGCAAGCTGATTTGAAAGGAAGAAATCAGGATTCCCTTTCGAGGGACCCATGCGAGATGCATAATTACACACAACCACACCATGAAATCCCGGGAATGCGTAAAAATTAGCACGCAAAAAATAATGTTATTTGATGTGTAACCTGAAACGCCGGTGCAAGGACCGAAGCAGATTCGCCTTTTCGTCACGTGCGGGAAATATTCTGGTGGGAACATTTGGTAAACCCTTTCAGAACCCTGGGTTCCGTAGCGGAATTCTCCACCCATGATGGGGAATGCCATGTAAACGCATTCCTGAGTGGCTTCCACCAAAGGCAAATCTTGTCCAGCGTCATCTCCGGTCAATCTATAATTAAGATCGCAGTTGAAGTTATCTGATATGACAAATACAAGTTGGCTTTTCTCCTAATACTGTAAAGTGCTTTAGCCACATTTTCACTTGCTGAAATAAATCATTTCAATTTTCCATTCTGAGAAATCTTTTTTCAAGCCCAGTTTTATAATTTTTTGAAGATCGCAGTTGAAGTTATCTGATGACAAATACAAGTTGGCTTTTCTCCTAATATAGTGCTTTATAGCCACATTTTCACTTGCTGAAATAAAGTATTTCAATTTTTCATTCTGAGAAACCTTTTATCAAGCCCAGTTTTATAATTTTTTGAAGACATTCCGCTATACAATATACAGTATATAGCCGCTTCATCAGTTCTTAATTTTAGCAGAAAATTTTTAAATGTCTATTATGAAGTCTTTCCAGCAAAACATTTTTTGAGTCTACAAGAATTTTGTGAAACTTTGCGGGTCCGCAGAATTTTTTTGTGAAAATTTTCCCTATAGTCCGCGGGCCCAAAAATGTTGGGGAACACGACTACTGTAAATCTTTCAATTCGGCGCAATTTCCGTAAACGGATTGGAACTATTCCTCAATTACCTTTTCCGAGTGAAGTAGATCTTTGAAAAACTTTTGCTGTTGATAGCTTCTTGTTTGATGGAAATATTAGCGATGTCTTGACGATTGTCCGCGACAATCGCAGTTCCGTTCCAGTAAACGTCACCCACGAATTGACCTCCAGTCCCGGCGAAAATCACGACACCATCGGTGAACGGATTCTGCAAAGTATAAATTGCGATTTGCATAGATGAATTTTTTTTTAAATCTTCCGTCACAGTTTTTCTACTCGAATTTTTATATACTATATACAGTATATATATATTGATTTTTTTTTGTCCATGGCATTGAGACTATAGATAGAAAAAAATCTCGCCCATGATGAAACGTCGTTGGTGAGGAAACATTTTTTTTAATATTTTGAACATGCCAAATTTTAAAAAATTATTCCAAATAGTTCCACAGAAATAAAATTGCCGTCAAGTACGTTATATTTAAAGTTCACATCATCGTTGTCTGATTTATTTAATCAGTGAGCGATTTGTTGATTTATGTAATGGTTTTCGGTTAAATTAGTTGACAAAAATAGGACTCGATTGACGAACGCAAAAGGATTTTCGTTTGTAAAATTTGCATTTATTTTTAGATAAGGCCCACCCAAGATATGATACTTGAAATCATTTTTTTAATCTCGTTGGAAGCGGAATGCGTCTCATATTTATCTATCGTCTTCCATCATGAATTCCTGAATTTTGGGATTGCATTTTTTGTTAATAATTTCCTCCCTTATATATGACACTTCTCAAATGACTGTACGGAAATGGATCATAAATGAAAATAATCGCTGCGGAAATTGAATAATACGGTTGAATGATAGTTGAACAGTTCAAGAGCAATCTGATGGGGAAAGGCAGCACTTTAGTTTAAGAAATTTTGCTATTCTTTCTCTGCCTTCAAAATTCAAAGCTTCGGGGATGAAAAGAAATCACTGTTTTTTTCGTCTCTTGACGGAGGGCCAATCGTATTTTTTCAAGGAGCTTAGATCCGATTTTTTCTTGATTATTTTATTCGCACCCAAAAAAACTGTATTTTTTTTTTTGAAAATCGAAAGTCAGACTCACAGCTCGAAGATCTTTGGCAAACCCGACACCGGTCCATCGGTCCGAGTTTCTAGTTAAAACATGAAAATCCAGTTCGTCCAAAGTTCCGTTGTAAACCCAAGTGACACTAAAATCACAGGCTCCATCGGACATGTTGCAATTCTTGGGATATATCCACTCCCCTCTGCACTTGCCAATGGTAGATGTCACTGCCTCGTCAGCTGTCCATTTGGATTGAAAAAAAAAACTATAAATTAGTCGAACGAATCCGCGTCAGACAGTCGCAAGAAAATGGGATATTTTCGGTAGTTTTTTCTCGACTTTTTTATTATATTCCTGAATTCATTCTTAATCTTTGGAACCCAGCTTATTATTTATTTTTTCAAGTGCTGAACACAATACTGTACTTACTCTGTGTACATATCTTTGTTTTGAGAATGCAATAAGTCATTTCTGCTTATTATCCGAACCAGGTTCCGGCGCTATCCAAAAAACATACGTGGCACAGCTTCAATTTTTATATTAATTTTTAAAGTCCATTAACCGGAACACCAGTTTGTATAGATTGTGTTCCTCTCATGGCTTCACAATCAACTTCCTCAGCATCACTCACCGAAAAGGTCGACAGAATGAACCCCTCGTTGATTTCCAGATCCATGGTATTTGAACTCGTCCATGGCGTAGAAATTCGGATTGGACACGGCCCCAAGAGCGAGTCCACTCGGTGGGTCATGCTTGTACAATTCCGAAACTGGGTTCTGTCCGTAGGCCCAGATCAGGTACATCCTGCTGGTTATGTTGTAATCAGCCTGATCCAGAGCAGAGCCAGTCACTGCAACCCCAAAAAATGCATCAAAGTTTAAAGAGTTTCGAGAATAGAAATACTGTATCAGCAACTGGATGGAAACAATAATTCAAGGACGGAGTTCGTCGTAAAATAAGAAGCGTCGTCATGTTTGAGTCTACCTAAAATTAATTGAATTTTTAAAAATTCACTTGAATCTATAGATTCGCCGTATAAATGCGAAGTGCTATAGAGATAAAATCCTTTCTAAAGTTTGAAGAGAAAAATAAAGCCTAGAAAAATTACAAGACGAAGTTCGTTGTCTTTCAGAATAATGGATCAACACGACGCCGTCATATTTAGGTCTTCATCATTCTTCTGAAACTTTTAAATTGAAAATATTACTGCAAGTTATTGACATTAACTAAAAGGGTTTTCTGGCAAGACAAATATTCTTGAGTATTCAGCATACACCATACGTTAAATATCATATTTGATCATGCATTTTTGAATTACTTTCACAAGTTTTCAATTTTGACTGGTCTTCAAATATGAGAGACGTAAGCTGCGACATAAAAGCATATCAAGTTTCGATTTAAAAAGCGAGTCGATAAAGCTTGAATGAATAACAAGCCCTTTATCACCAATTTCCGAACATTCACATGTTCATCAAAACTTAAAATGTCCATATACGACTAATTAATTTCGTTGCAGAAACTGAAAAGTTTTTATTATTATTTATGAATGCTTTATATATACTGAAACGATTTTTCTGCCACAGTTCCCAACGAAGCTGGATTTTCCATATTTGAATTATATGAATATTACAGCTAAAAAGAATTTAGATCAATTTCAAGAACTCATTCTCTTGTTGCTGACTTACGCAAAATATTCCGACGGAAATAAATGGTAGTTGTGCCGTTTCTTTCATAACCATCGGCTGCCAGAAGACTTTCGGTCCCACCGTAAAACGAATCCGGTCTCGGAGTCGACCTATAAATTATTTGGATTCAATGGTAAAAAATATAAATTATTGATAATATTCTATGAATGTATATGTCGATAACTTTCGAGTTCCTCCTTATTTTGCCAAAGAAAATAACTACAAGAAAATAGCCCAAGTCGATACAATCGAAAAAAAAAATCGTATACAGCATGTTCGCTCAAGTTTGTCACACCCGCAATATTTCAGTTTGATTTTTAAAATAAAAATTCGCGTATCATCTCGATTTCTGCATAGCTAACCGCAGATAATTTATAGAATGACTGCTTCGAAAAATTTATTCTTAATTTGGAAGCCAATTTGCAGCTTACCGTATTATCTTTTCTCTTCAGTTTCAAAATTTTAAATTTAGTGTAGAGACGCTTGATAATCAAATGAGTCTGTAACTATATATACATTAGGATTCTACGTTTTTCATTTTTACTGAAAAAATATTTCGAAAATGCACGATGAAATGTAGCTGGCGATTTTTTGAAAGTCTTACGCATTTATTTCCGTGAAAGATGTCCTGTATATACCTCCACTAAATTTTAAAAATTGAATATATGTCTCGTTTCGCGGGTTCGCACATCTGCGTATAATTAACTTGATTGAATTAAGATGAAAAGCATATATTTTTCAAATGTATTAAATCAAGTTTTGAAAATAATACCTGTCTCTGGTGTAATAATCTCCAATCTTGATGGTTTCTCCCCTTGCAAAAGCCACGACCATGTCAGTGCAGTCCATGGGATGTACAGCTTTTGGAGACCAACCTGAAGTATAGAAACATCTTCTTTGCATGAGTAATTTATAATCTGCCAAAAATGGTTACAGCTAATTAGGAATCTCTTTAAAAAGTACACGCTCAGATATTACAGATGTTAAGCTGCATTAAAAACATTCCAAATGCAAGAGACATCTGAGTGCTGAAAGGCAGTTACCCAGCCTCCAAGGGTATTTAATTTTGAAAGTACAGAACTACATTTTGACTGCAGAAATAAGTGAAGCTGGAGCATCCTCACTCTTTGAGTGGTAAAAAAGGACTTCATTACAGTATTGTCTCTGATCACAGGTTCAATGAAGACAACAACCACAGATCACACAATCAGCAAATACAATCTAACATTGTGCAGTAAAAATGTTCAACGGTTTCAACCCCATTGGCAATGGGTTCCAAGCCCATTTCAAAATGCCCCCTGCCAATGTTAGGGGGCAAGGCATTGAGTAAAGACCAAGATGACATTTTCACAATGGTCTTGCCATAATGGCATGATAATGCCCTCCCAACGCATTTTGCAACATTAAAATTATTTGCTGGGAACTTGCTTTCAGAAAGAAATAAAATCAGCAAAGAAAATAACTTTGCCTATGGTGCAATTCCCAATGCACAAACTTGCAAAGCAAATAACTCTACAAATTTTACACTTGAAAAATTCTGCAACATTTCAAATTAAAGCTTAAGATGTTCTCCAACTTTTCTTTATTGATATAAAAATTGACTTGACTGACAGATCTTGAGATCTTCTCACTGTTTTAAACTTAACTTTTCCTTGGTGATAAGAATCTGGAAAACCTTCATGCCAGATTCTTATCTCACTGATGCGCAAGCTTTTGGTGCAAACAGTGACTTTAAAAGCCTTGTTCCTATGATGTATGAATGAATTTGTTTCTGCAACCCTGGGAACTTCAAATTTTCGATGTACATTTAATTATACAGTACCAACGAAATCAATCTTGATTTGAGCAGCCGGGATGTTAATTATCGAAATTTTATTTTCCTATAAGCACGAGTACCTCATTTTATTTCTCTGTATTCTATTCCTTTATTTTATATGAATTTTTAATTATCTATTGTATGAAAGAAAGCTGGAATATCCGAGCTTCAATATCCAGAAACAGGGCTTGAATTCCCATCCAGACTTTGCCCAGCTGTGAAAAATCGGCGAAGCTTCGAATATTTAGTTGCTGACTTAGAATTATATATTGATGGTTGTTCGTGTTCCAATAACCATCATCAGAAACTGGAACATTTTCTGTTCTATATTGATTCTCGTGCATATAAAATGAAGAATGGCATCAAATCAAGAGAGAAACTAGGCCAGGATGGGCCACCAAAGAATACTTCATCGTGCTTGTAACATTCTTTTGTTCTCGTTCAGAACAGAATGATTGATTCTTTTTTTACGTGCGAAAAAGCTTAAAATGTTACATATATACAGTGACCCACAAAAATGCTGTACAATAGTCCAAAAGCAAGTTGGCAATTTTCTTTTAGCAGGAAACCAAAAGCTGTAGAAATTATACGGGTTTCCACGTGATAGAGGTGTCAAAAACATTTTCAGCTAACCTCTATATTTCGTATAAAATTTCAAAATTTCAATTTAAGCGGTTAATAAAGAGAGTATTAAAAATAATCTAATTCAGCGGGACGCCAACAAGATTTCCTCCGATTTCCGGATTTTTCATAGATACAACTTATTCAGTAAAAATATTTTTCATCATTCGGGTGACAAATCTCGGAAGTCCCTTTTCATACAAAGCTCTCGATTTATTGAATGATTTAATTTGCGGGACTTTATAAGCATATATACAGCAGCAGTACTATAAGCTTAGGCCATGGCACTGACCTCATTTCATCATCGTCAGTTCAACAGCACGTTAAAAGCCAGGTTTCCCCTGGATGTTCCATAGAATATATAGAATAAAGGAGAATAAAAGTCATGGGCAAAGCGCGTGACTTGTTACCATAGCTACGATGTAAACATTTTTCGGTGTTCGATTGCGAACAGGTTGTCGCATGCCAATGCCAACTTCCTGCTTCTCTGGGATTGGTTCTACTGTATATATACAGGTACCGTATATGAAAAGGGGAAATAAATATAAAGGGGAATGTCGAGAGCAAATTGAGCCCAATTCTCCTGGGCCACATTTTTGCACCTCGCATTCCTGCTGAATAATGACCTTAACCTTCTGAAGTAGGCTCGTCCGAGGGAATTAACCAATTTTCTCTAATGGGGAATAATTTCTTTTTCCACACTCACTTTGGGGAAATAGGATTTTATGGCTTTGGTAAGACGAAATGTGCAGCGAATTAAAATTATGAAGAACGCTTCGGATAAACGTACTATAGTTTTTCAAGTTATAGAAAAAAAATAGCAGAGCATAGTCAAAAAATTTATTAGTTAACTAAAAAATTTAAAAAACCTCCTGGAAATAAATCCTTGGCGATATTTTAATCGCCACCCAACATTGAATATTTTAGCACGTGGAACCCTAAAAAATGGAAAAGATGTTGGGCTTTTGCTTTCGAATTTATTCCCTTAATCATACAGTACTTGTCTATTATTATCATTTTTGTTTGTTTTAGATTGACAGACCACCAGGATATGTCTCAGACGAAATAAATACTGCAGATGAACTCTATCTCGCAGAAATAATTATGAACACACATTAAACTGTTTTTTNCAACCACAGATCACACAATCAGCAAATACAATCTAACATTGTGCAGTAAAAATGTTCAACGGTTTCAACCCCATTGGCAATGGGTTCCAAGCCCATTTCAAAATGCCCCCTGCCAATGTTAGGGGGCAAGGCATTGAGTAAAGACCAAGATGACATTTTCACAATGGTCTTGCCATAATGGCATGATAATGCCCTCCCAACGCATTTTGCAACATAAAAATTATTTGCTGGGAACTTGCTTTCAGAAAGAAATAAAATCAGCAAAGAAAATAACTTTGCCTATGGTGCAATTCCCAATGCACAAACTTGCAAAGCAAATAACTCTGCAAATTTTACACTAGAAAAATTGTGCAACGCATTTCAAATTAAAGCTTAAGATGTTCTCCAACTTTTCTTTTTTAATATAAAAATTGACTTGACTGACAGATCTTGAGATATTCTCACTGTTTTAAACTTAACTTTCCTTGGTGATAAGAATCTGGAAAACCTTCATGCCAGATTCTTATGTCACTGATGCACAAGCTTTTGGTGCAAACAGGGACTTTAAAAGCCCTGTTCCTATGATGTATGAATGAATTTGTGTCTGTAACCCTGGGAACTTCAAATTTTCGATGTACATTTAATTATACAGTACCAACAAAATCAATCTTGAATTGAGCAGCCGGGATGTTGATTATCGTAAGTTTATTTTCCTATAAGCACGAGTACCTCATTTTATTTCTCTGTATTCTATTCCTTTTTTATATGACTTTTTAATTATCCATTGTATGAAAGAAAGCTGGAATATCCGAGCTTCAATATCCAGAAACAGAGCCTGAATTTTCATCCAGACCTTGCCCTGTGAAAAATCGGCGAAGCTTCGAATATTTAGTTGCTACCTAAGAATTATATATTGATGGTGGTTCGTGTTCCAATAACCATCATCAAAAACTGGAACATTTTCTGTTCTATTGATTCTCGTGCATATAAAATGAAGAATGGCATCAAATCAAGAGAGAAACTAGGCCAGGATGGGCCACCAAAGAATACTCCATTGTGCTTGTAACATTCTTTTGTTCTCGTTCAGAACAGAATGATTGATTCTTTTTTGACGTGCGAAAAAGCTTGAAATGTTACATATACAGTACAGTGATCCACAAAAATGCTGTACAATAGTCCAAAAGCAAGTTGGCAATTTTCTTTTAGCAGGAAACCAAAAGCTGTAGAAATTATACGGGTTTCCACGTGATAGAGGTGTCAAAAGCATTTTCAGATAACCTCTATATTTCGTATAAAATTTCAAAATTTCAATTTAAGCGGTTAATAAAGAGAGGAATAAAAATAATCTAATTCAACGGGACGCCAACAAGATTTCCTCCGATTTCCGGATTTTTCATAGATACAACTTATTCAGTAAAAAAAAAGATTTTCAACATTCGAGTGACCCGACTGTGTTCAAATCTCGGAAGTCCCTTTTCATACAAAGCTCTCGATTTGTTGAACGATTTAATTTGCGGGACTTTTAAAGCATATACAGCAACAGTACTATAAGCTTAGGCCATGGCACTGACCTCATTTCATCATCGTCAGTTCAACAGCACGTTAAAAGCCAGGTTTCCCCTGGATGTTCCATAGAATATATAGAATAAAGGAGAATAAAAGTCATGGGCAAAGCGCGTGACTTGTTACCATAGCTACGATGTAAACATTTTTCGGTGTTCGATTGCGAACAGGTTGTCGCATGCCAATGCCAACTTCCTGCTTCTCTGGGATTGGTTCTACTGTATATATACAGGTACCGTATATGAAAAGGGGAAATAAATATAAAGGGGAATGTCGAGAGCAAATTGAGCCCAATTCTCCTGGGCCACATTTTTGCACCTCGCATTCCTGCTGAATAATGACCTTAACCTTCTGAAGTAGGCTCGTCCGAGGGAATTAACCAATTTTCTCTAATGGGGAATAATTTCTTTTTCCACACTCACTTTGGGGAAATAGGATTTTATGGCTTTGGTAAGACGAAATGTGCAGCGAATTAAAATTATGAAGAACGCTTCGGATAAACGTACTATAGTTTTTCAAGTTATAGAAAAAAAATAGCAGAGCATAGTCAAAAAATTTATTAGTTAACTAAAAAATTTAAAAAACCTCCTGGAAATAAATCCTTGGCGATATTTTAATCGCCACCCAACATTGAATATTTTAGCACGTGGAACCCTAAAAAATGGAAAAGATGTTGGGCTTTTGCTTTCGAATTTATTCCCTTAATCATACAGTACTTGTCTATTATTATCATTTTTGTTTGTTTTAGATTGACAGACCACCAGGATATGTCTCAGACGAAATAAATACTGCAGATGAACTCTATCTCGCAGAAATAATTATGAACACACATTAAACTGTTTTTTTTATTTTTTATTTCTCATCCTTACGAGTCTTTAAAAATCTAGATGATAATGGGATGCACTACTTTTCAATTAATGAGTTCATGGAAACTAATATAGTATTTAGAATAATTCAATGGCATTTTTGAAGTATTTTCTGGCTGCCTGACAGGGATTTTTAAACCCACTTGATTACTCTTATTTAAATTTTCCTTCATTTATACACAAACGAAAGCCTGAATATTAAAAGAACAGTAATCACGACGCGTTATCGTTTATTCTTTGAAAATGCTTAATAAAAAAAGTTTTTTTTCTGGTTCACGCATCAAACACGAATTCTTACGCATCTATTCTCAAATGAGAACAATTTGCTTCTGTGATGCATTATTCAACTGACGGTTTTGAACACCTCAGCTTTTTCATGTTGAATATATCTCTGCCTCATATGATATGTTTATATAGCATACATATGATACAATGCATAATGGTAATTTTTATATATACAGTATAGCTCAAAAAAATGTGATGAATGGTACGAACCATCGTCATTGTAAACGTCCGTGTTCCTTGAGACCCATTCTCCAGTTGCCCATTCTGCGTCATTTTCTTGTCTAGCCATGGTTGAACCACTCCTCTTGACTCTCAACTTCTCTGAAATGCCTCTATTGAGAGAAAATATGTTCAGATCGTTCAATGAAAATAAATTAAAAAGACAAATTAATTCAATTTCTGGAGAATGCTTTGCGAAAATATCACGCTTTTTGAAAAGCTATAAGGATGAAAAACGTTTGAATAGCGATCTTTCGGTATTTTGCACAAAGCTGATCGTAATTCGTGAAGTGTGTGTGTGTGTGTGTGTGTGACTTCATCACGGCCATTTCCATATTCAAAAATTATATGCAGACATAATACAACAGCGTTAAATTTTTAATGACTTTCATTCCAGACGAACGAAAATTTCTGAAATCAAAATTTTAAATTCTTTATTTACTAATATTTGTATTCTTGATCAACTTTAAAAGAATACGGTACATAATTCTACTTTATTCTTCATCAATTTTCCAGGCTGTCAGAAATTTGGTTTAAAATTTTCCCGAACCTGTGAACGTAGGCATTGAAGCCCCCCGAGTCAAAGCCCGGGGTATTGGTGACCTCTTCAATGGTGGGTCCATTGAGTGGATCCGGATCCGTGGCGTTGACCGGGAATTTCCGACAAGATGAGGTCAAATAACTGGGACGCCAGCCAATGCCGACCCAATTCGTCGTTTTGACCCGAACAACGAACTCAATTTCATTGTCAAATCGGAACACTCGCCAGTAGATCTCAACTTCCGGAGGAGTTCCCCCAAGCCGAGTAAACTGATTCAGCTTCAGCTGCTCCATTTTGTACTTGTCCGAATCTTTTATAGTTGAAGCGAAATAAAAGAGAGACACACAGATTGACATGAAAAAGGACAGAGAGACACATTCAGGTAATATGGAGTGCAACAAGAGAAGGAGAGAGGCAAAATATTCAGAGAGAGAGAGAGATAGAGAGAGAGAGAGAGAGAGAGAGATGATCAACATATGCGTAGAGATGAACAAAGAGAAGAGTGGGGTGAGAGCAATAAGAGAAAGAGAGATACAGAGATGGGGAGATATAGGAGAGGGTGAGAGCAAATGAAAGAGAGACAGATATGGGGAGATATGGGAGAGAGTGCGAGGACAAGTGTGAGAGAGATGGTGTGAAAACAAGATTGAGAGAGAGACAGGGACATAGAGGAGAGGGACAAGAGTGGGAGAGAGAAGGTGAGAGCAAGAGGGTGAGAGCAAGATTGAGAGTGAGAGACACAGAGAAAAAGAGGGAGTGAGTTTGACATTGAGCAAGCAAGAGAGACAGAGCAAACAGTAGCAAATAAATTTATAATCAAGGTTGCAGTCCTTTTTGAAAACTTTGGAAATTTAGGAAGTGCTGTACATACAGCATAAACTCTTCATTCAAGTGTATGATTTTACTCAGATGCACTGAATTTATTTTACACTGTATAGTGGGGGTTGTAAAATTCTGTAATGCCAAGCCAATACATATGAGCTGAATTCTAAATTATGTATATACAGCATACCTCAATTTTTTAAATTGGCATGTGAAACTTTTGGTTGGAGCCACAAATGAGCCTTTCAAGTACAGTATGTCTCTTGTATGTACAGTATGTCACATCAGCAGACAAAACCATCCACCTTGATATTTACTTAACTTTCAAACCCAAATAAATAAAATCGAAGTCATCCGCTGGGCCCTTTATAATCGACACAAAATTTGACAAATTGACTATATAGGGTGTTCTGGGAGGAATTAAATTGTTTTCAACAAATAATGTAACAACTCACTCTTAGAGCACTTGGGTCCATAGTATGTGTGACGGCAGAAGCACATCTTCTTGGGGAAACTGGTCCCATTGACAAAGTCACAGACTCCGTTCGACCCACAGTCATTTGCCCCCTCGCATTCATTGGTGAATTGACAATTTTCCCCATAAGAACCCGCTTGACACGTACACCGGCCATAGGGAACAACAATGCTGTTTATGTCTGAAACCGTGCCGGTGTTGGTGTTGGTCTGATTCGTCTGCCATTGACCTCCGTTGCAGGATTCTTGCGAAATCGACTGAGTAACTATATGAAACATTGAAACGACATCAAAAACGTCAAAAGGTCAATTCTGAAAAGTAAAAAAATTCCGAAACAAGTCGTACTCGAAGCATGAAGTTCACATGTTTCATTCAGAAAAATATTACTGTTTTCGATAGTTAGATGGCGCTTAATGAGGTTTGACTCGTAATAACGAGTTATAAATATCAGTCACATCATTTTCCCATACGAATGATTTTTAAGGCTTTCTTGATGCGATTTTTCAATACTCATGATGATTTTCAGTAGACATTTACAGTCGAAGTGAGAAATTTACCCATCATCAATACTTGAACCATGTTGAATAAAACTCATGATAAATGTACGAAGAATTCCTGATTATATAAAGTTTTGCAATAGTTGCAGTATATACTGTATATATATATATATATATATATATATATATATATATATATATAACGTTTCTAGCCTGAATATAACGAATATTTCCATTCTATGTACCTTTAAAAAATGTTTCCAGCTCGTAATCATGGCTTAGATGATGCGATGTGATTTTGCTTCATTTTTAAAATTTTTCATCAACAGATATTTTAAAATTTTTTTTGGAAGAAAACAGGTAAAACTTCAATTTTAAACAATTTCCTGAAGAATCAAGTCATTTTCCTCACGAGGTGTGACGGTGACGTCAGCACAACTCCACATGACAAATTCGTATGGATCACGACCATTTGTCCACTCCGAGGCTTGTCTCAGGATCCGGACAGAGCAATTTTCCTTGCACTCGGAAAGATACCTCGGGATTTCTAACTCATACCTCTCCGCACTAAACATAAAATTGCCAAAAGATTGTTTTTTTTTATAAAATGTGAGTAATATTTTTATGCAGGATTTTGAATTGAAAATATATTTCAAGATCTCACGTGGCATCGTTGGAGATGAAAGCGTTTGTGGCTGTGACTTGAGTGAGTGGTACTAGGATATCGTTGTTCCTGAGCAATTCTATTCGAAATCCGCCCTAAAAAAATTGAGTATTGCAGTTGGAATTATCTTTTGAAGCATTACATCCAACAAATGTTTTGGAAGTTTCATCATGGACGTATAATGCTCTAAAAATTAGGGCATAAAAATTGTTGACATTTTCGAAAAATAACTTTTTGGTCGGTTTTTTTTTTTCCCATCATAATTGTCAGCCTGACTTTAAAACATTTTCTCCCAATTGTTCTTCCAGCCTTTGAAAGGAACAATCCTGAATTAATTTATACTGCTCATTAAATAGGTAAAAAATTTTACTCAAAAGAAAATCGCTGATCGTTGCTCTGAAAAGACCATTTTTTACAGAATTTATTTTCATGCAGGAAACGTTTTTCCTTTTTATTATCGCGTATGATGGTCGATGTTTTGCTTATTTCCGTCTGGAAATTTCGTGAATTTTATTGATAACTTTTATATTTTACCAGAGAAACTCAGACTTCTTTTCATCAGATTTCGTTTCTCAAGAAATGTGTTCAGTAGGCTCTATCTATTAAGCCCACCATAAAGAGATTTTCCCACAGATATTTAAAAAAGCTTTAGCAATAATTATTCAAATAGGGATAATAACGGATAGATTCTCGGTGTATATTTTATTTATTTGTGCATACTGCACCTTGTGAGGATAAGCCATGTGCCAAGTGAAATTGTATCTGCGTCCAGCTTGCAAAGTAGTGACGATGCTTGTTGTCCCAGCTGAAAATAAACATGGTTCATTTCTTTCATGTTACCTGCACATACAATTTGCGCATTTTTGTGTTAGATTGCAGATATAATGATGCAATGTTTAATTTTTTATTGTTGAATAAGTTTGGCCAAATATTGGGTATATAACCTAAAACAAATTAATTTCGACGTACTGAATAATCGCTTCCACGCATTTTTGTGCTAGATTGCAGATATAATAATGCAATGTTTAATTTTTTATCGTCGAATAAGTTTGGCCAAATATTGGGTATAACCTAAAACAAATTAATTTCGACGTACTGAAAAATCGCTTCCACACGTCTGTGGCAGGAAAGTTTTTGAGACACGATGCCTTCGAAATATCGGTCAAGAATGTATTTAAAACATCTATTATGAAGATTTCTGAGACCTGATCACAATTACAATTGCAGAAACCAATAAAAAAATCCGAATGCGTTTGCATTTCGGCAAAATGTTGTAACTCACGCAAATTTCTGGGCATTCCGCACGGTGGCTCAGTCCGGATGTTATCCGCGAAATCCAAGGCGTACTGCCTCGCAGGCGGAAAGGTCAACCTCACATGACCATTGGCAAAATTGTTGACATTCCACAAAATCACAGGGAACACAAACCGAAATGCCAGAACCCGTTCCCAATCGATCAAGCCCGGTAGAACGCGCTTCATATTCTCCTCCTCTTATTCCGGGACCAGGATATATTGATTATATGCGAAAATTGTGTAATTCTCCCTCGCGTGAAAATTGCGAACAGGGTTGAGAGTAAATAATCCCGACGAAATTATGGTTGGGTGTGTTGGAAAATTGTGGAAGGGGTTTGATATGCTTCTATTATTTGAGGGGGGAAAAATTCCAAATAAGGGCGGGAACATGGGTTTTTCTATTGTTTGTGCAATAATGCAATTGTTAGAAACAGATTTTGAAATATTTGAACTTTGAGATTTTGAAATGAATCTTAAACAACAGTAAGCAGGGCTGCAGCCGGGTTGCTTTACACCCTAGTGTAAGGTTGGTATATTTAGGATAAAATACGAGGTTTTGATAAACAGCAGATTGACAAGCAACAGTCTTTTGCATGATAAAATCTTGGAGCAACTGCTGATGAAACAGAAGATCTAACTAGTATTTAAACCCCTTTAATTTTGCAAAATTTTGTCCCTGAGTGAATTTATCCTTTCTGCAGGATTTCCCCAAGAATTCAAGCTCTTGTGGGAACTCAAGGTCAAACTTGGTCTCACGGGATTCTGGACATACTCAAATAGCTAATTTTTTGATGGTGCCAGTCTAATCTGTCTAAAACTCCATCCTCCTCTTTCTAATTTCCAACAGCAATGACAAAAATCAGAGATCTTTGTGATCCGAGATTTTTGTGATCAAGACGATCGAGAGGTTATACATCCGATTTAAAATCGGAGAAGATTGAATGACGATCAAGCGATGTTTAAAAATCGATTTGATAGCTAAACATTCACGAGTGCTGTGCTGTTTTTTTCGGCATCAATTTCTGCGATCTGTGCATCAATTCAAATTTTTGTTCGAATTTTAAAGCCACCTTTGCCAATTGTCTCAGTTTCAAAAATTCGGAGAAGTAAATGAAAAAGTTAAGTTCGAAGTGCGTGGGATAACATTTTTCTTTTTACGTCTTGACACGTAATTCAACAACATTTGGGCGCATACATAGTTGGGTTAATTTTGTCCAAAGCTCTTGGTTCATCTTTTATGAGTTATCAATACGGCATATAATGGAGCTCCTCAGAACGGCCTTTTCGCTTAGCGGCCTTTCCTTCGAGTGGAAACTCTGACAATAAAAAACCCGAGAGAAAAAACCTTTACGTTTACATGAAGAATCTTATTTACGGGTTTCTCAAACTGTTTAGCTTAAGTATCTTTCAACTTTCTTCACTTTCGGAAGGTCACAGGAACATCCAGTGCTGATGAAAATTGCATTACAAATTTTAGTTTCTCAAACCACTAGCTAGCGTTTATTTTTATCGAAGATGTAAGGTAAGTCGAAAGAGTTAATAGTTACGTGGTTTCATGGTAACGTATATTTTAGTGACTAATAAGAGACTCGTTTTGATCATTATTACATAATGATGATTAATTCCATGAGAATGAGACCTTCTTTCTTTTATTTTGGGTCATTTACACTTCTAATTTATTTTTTCTTGCTCAATAAGAATTTCAAGAAAAAAATCAACGCTTGAAACCTGCATCAGTAATTTTTTTTAAACAAATGCATGAGTATTGATTAAAAAGATTGCAGCGAGACTCCCTAACATCTAGGTTTCATTGTTTACAGATGATTTAAGTTACTGAAGAAAAAAAACACATTATAAAAATTTAGGTTTATCAAAAAACCTAAATTTAGATAAAAAAAAACTAAATGTAGGTTTTTTGGGAGGTTTAAATTAGAAAGATCCAACTAAAGTGAGACCCCCACATGCGGACACATCAACATGGGGACAATTTGACATGAAATTCATTTTTCAATAAAAAAAATCATAAAAAGGCCCAACCTGTGGACACTGACTCAACATGAGGACATTGAATGATAAAATTTCCAATAAATTTTAGGAAAATTGACTTTTATTAGGCTCAGTTGCAAGAAACAGATATTTCCAACCCTAAGATCTTGGCAAGAAAAATTCTTTGGAACTTTTCCCATCATTTTCCCATCCATTCAGCTAATTAAAAAAAAAACTAACTATGGCACAGATGGACTTCCTTCTCTCTTTGTGACTTGGATGTTATATTTACAGATGCCAACATTTCAATGAACTGTACAGCTGTATAGAGTTCTAATTGGGTTGAAAAGATATTCACTGGATCAAATTCAAGTGGCAAACAAAAATGTTTTCATGGAATTCTGAAGAATATTTCTTCCATTAAACGCCAATTAAAAATTATTTAATGTAAGCCTATGAGAAAACAAGACTTAGGGACAATTCAACTTAGTGACACTCTTGATGCACCAATTATGTCCGCATCTGGGGGGTCTCACTGTAAATGATCAAAATAATCACTTATTGAAAACCCGAAGCTAAATTTAAAAAAAAAATGCAGTTTGATGCAGTCCTGTTCAAAAACACCGCGGATAAACTTTATTGCGCAGTTAATCAAATTAACCCTCATTATCAAAACCCTTCAGAAAATCCCGTTATATTGGAAAACTTCTTGGGGGTGGTGCTAATTGATATATACACAGTTTAAAAAAACACCGGATAAACTGGATTACACACCGAAGCCATGACCCTACCGCTGCGTACCAGCAGCAGGATGGTCTTGTTGGCTTTCCCGAAAAGACCCCCGGCTTGTATATATGCTGTGTTACCCACCTGAAAAAAAAAGTCGATACCCCTGGCCGTCCATTTGCGCCCCCCGTCCCTATATACCTGTTCGCGTCGATAAATAGATGCATGATTTGAAGGGGGGGGGGGGCAGAAAATGGTGAATATAAATTGGACATAAAGGGAAACATAGGGAATCCCCCTTTTCATGGCTGCCCAAATACTGTAAGCGCAACCCAATAACTGTCGTGTATAAAAACCTGGAAAATTCTAAGCGCCAGACCAAGTTTTCTACAATGATACATCGAATGCATTTTTCTCTGCAGGATTTCGACTGTTTTGCGGGTTATGCCCTTTTTTTTAATGTCTGCATAAATTAATCATTTTAAGGCCAACAGCGTATTGGCAAACGGAATTAACGGTGCATATCAGTAGTAGTGTTCCCCAACCTTTTTGGGCCCGCAGACCTGCAAATTTCCAAAATCATTTTTGCAGACCAGCAAATTCTCAACAACAACAAATTCTGCGGACCTGCAAAGTTTTGTTGAAGATTTGCACTCTAGAAAAGTTGTGCCTTAAATACTTTATGGAAGGAATTGAAAAAGTGTTCTGCTTCTTTTTGCAAATAAAAATGAAGTTGAGAATCAATGAAGCAGCCATATAGTGGAAATGTCCTTGAAAAAAATTAGAAAGGTGTGCTTGTAGGAAAAAATTTCAGAATTAAAAATTAAAATAATTTATTTCATCAGGTGTGTCGCGGGTCGACTAGATGTCGCCCGCAGCGCACGAACAGGAGAGGCACAGAAAGTGCGACGCAGCGCATGGAAACGCTACGTCGTACGAGAAAATAAATTCGAGAATATTGTGGAACAAAAAAGAACAAATATTTTTATCCAAACATTATGAAACCTGAAGATATTGATCTTCAGGAAAAATATTCCATCAAGTGAATCACCACTTGATGAAAGAAATTATATGGAATTTAAAAACAGACAATCAGTCACACCCCAGTGAAAACCTTGGAGAAGCTTTCCACTGGGGAGGACCTGGACCTGTGAGGAAGGAACAGCAGAATCAATCAATCCTGCTCTGGACTTTGGAGAGAACAGAC